GTGAAGAAACTGTGCAGAAGCACGTCACAGAGGAGAGCCGTTAACCAATATGCAAATTAGCCTGCAGTACCACTGCTCTACCCATATGAGCAGCAAAAAGACGTTTTTAGACCAAATGTTAAAGATTTGAACAAATACGCACAAAAACATCAAAATTAGCACAGAAACAGTACTATATAACATTTTAGACACATTCTAGACATTTAGTTTATCAGCTAAAAAAAGTTAATTTTGGGGTAAGTTACTCTTTAAGTACGAGTGAGGTGATTTTGCATTAGAGCTGTATTTTTCCTGTAGGCGAAGAAATGAAAATGATAGTGTGCTAAAATTAGAAACCTTTCAAAACTTCTGGTTTCTAGTAATGACTTTGTAAGGCAGAGGTCTCCTACAGAACTTACATCATTATGACTTCTGATGCTTCCTGAAGATTTTCCACGTGAGTCAGTGAACAATTTGATAAATCCAACCTGATTTAAAAAAAAAAAAGGATTAAACTTAGAAAAACAAATTGCAATATGCAAATCAATCATTTCCAAAATTGTCAAAGAATTCTTATTTTAAATTACAATGATTACAACAGGCTGTTTTAAGACTTCACAAAAATAAATAACTTATTTATAACTTAAATGTAATTTTTTATTTATGATAAACACACACCTAGTTAGGGGTATAATTTTATACACTGACGTGGCACTTTTAACAAACAGATTTTAAGAAGTTTTTTTTTTTTTATAAAAAACAACTAAACCCTAACCCGATGATGCGTTCATGGTCTCCTGAGCTGTCATTCTTCAAGCAGCATCGTCCGTCTATCAATCCGGCGAACCCAGAGCAAAACTGGCCCACAGCGGTTCTGTTTAATACTGACCCACCACAAAGCGAACATACCTGCGGTTAGAAGCAACGACGGTGATAAACAAACACACAAATAAACACCGATCACCCCCTAGGCACCGCCTGAGCCAACACAACCTGCCTTGTCGGTATCTGACGTGCTGTTAGAACTGATCAGTCTTACCTGCTGCCCTGTCAGGCTGTTACTTGTGTTACAACCTATAATAAACATTAAAATAAAAGCTACATGTTCTTTCCAGCTGCACACAGCTTTCATTTTTCATCGATTCAAGTCATATGTTGTTGATGCTGTACAGATCACGTGACAGGAAGTTGGTTCATTTTGCGCTGTGATTACGCATACAGCCAAATTAGGAGATTTTTTTCCCACACTATCTGGCTGTAGTTATTTGTAGTTTAAATTATTAAAGCATTTACGCCAAAAACTATTACTTAAACCAATTACTTTTATCGAAATGAATATATTAGTTTCATAAACAACTGTATTTTTTGCTGTAATAAATTCTGACTGCGCATTCACAGTCACTTTGGGTTATACCAAAAAAAGGGAGTGATTCATTCGGCAGTATTCTGTGAAAATAAAGCAGAGAGTCATTTTGGTAAAGTATTTATGAATATATCCTTTTGTGTCGTAAATAGATATAAGTTTAATGTCGATTATGTCACAATTCTCGTGTGTAGACTAGCATAATTTGCAGCAGCAGGAGTTGGAACCCCCTATCCAGCAGAAATGGTTTAGCCCAGAAGGATTGTAGCATTGCTTCGTCTTGCTGGTCCACAGTACGCCAAAAGAAAGCGGAACTTTTGGATTGCGGTGACATTTCTCTTTATTTTAAGCCAGCGTTACTATTGTGTGTAACCTTCTTCGCCATACAGACTTTTATTCAGCGAATTATGAACTATATATAAAAAAACAACAATTAGCACGTGCTTGTGTCACACGTTTCGTAGAGGTTTATCAGCGAACAGCTAGTTTTGCGACGCTGGGGATTGCAGGAGCCAGCTGCACCTTTTTTATCCAGGAACTTCATCTGGCTAAATGTGCTGAACCGTCTCAAACTGTTCTGAACAGTAGGCGGGTTTGTAAGTTTTTTCCCACACGTAACGTTTTGTGATGAAAAGGACACACGTTTAACGCTGACACGCTGGTGTTATTGCTTAACACTTGCAACATGGCTGCTGCGGGAACAGCAGGGAGAAAAGTTTAACACTGACGTGGGAGAAGTTTGGTGCATTCATGAACAGCTCTCCGCTCCGTAGCCGCCTCTAGTGGCACCATCATCTTCCAGACTCCCAGAGCAGAGGAGGAACCGTGTCAGAGAGCCTCCTCCTCCTCCTCCGCAGGCACCGCGGGGTCGTCACCGCAGTGGACTTTTTTCACGGTGGTGCCTCTCTCGCTCCCCATCGCAGCCAGGGGCTCTGGAGGCGTTCAAGGACCGTATCGACTGACTGGAGGCTGCGCTTCGAGCTAAAATGCATTTCTCCATACCCGAAACGGAAGTGTGTTCGGAGGAAAACGGCTCAACCTATGTGGTAAGCATAATTATATGTTTTGGTTTTGCCTGCTTCGCTTGCTGTGTTAATGCTTACTTAAGCTGGCCGCAGCTATCGTCAATGCCAGAGTTTCAGTGCACTGTTGTATATTTCATGGTGAATTACTGTCAGCTAAATCTGCTTTATCCATCGAGACACATCAAATACATAAATGTTTTAGGATAAGACAAGTAACTTGAAGTGCAGGATTAAAGGTTACTTTTTAGTTAGACATGTGAAGTAATTGTTACTGTCAAAACCACTTAATCTGACCCTGCTTCTGATTGATCTCATTATACACTACAGAGTTTCTTTTGTTTTCAACGTTTAAGCCTAAATTATTAGATTGAGCGTGTTTTTTTGCCTTTATAGTTTAAGTAAGCTTTTTGAAAAACAGCTTTTGGACTTAGTTTCCTGAAAAATACACTTAACACAAAAAATAATGACATTTTTTGTTGGTATTGTCAGTAGCAACAGTAACATAAGCTAGAGCTGGGCGGTATGACCCAAATTTTATATCACGTTTTTTTCAACAATTACACCGTTTTCACGGTATTTGACAGTATTTTTTTTTCCTCACAGCTCAGCTGATAATAAAATGTACAAACTTTGCTTATTGACTTTTTTCTTTTACTGTACCTCTGTATCACTGTTCCCCTCCTCTTGTACGTCTTTTCTTCTTTGCCTGGTTGTAGACAGTAATCATGAATTTAGGTCCGATCGTGAAGGGTTGAGAAAGAAATCATCTGGTCTATCGTTGTGTGTTAATAAAACTTAAAAGGACGACTCGCCTTGCTCACCAGTCAACTCAGCTACACTACAAAACTACTTCCCCTGGGCTTTTCACAATGGAAGCACACTAGCGTCTCCATGCAATAACGTCTCCATTATAACGTAGCGCGTTAAATCTAACCGTGCACGTCACTGAAGAGTTGTTTACACATCCAGCGATGGTGAAAATGGGATTTTTTTTATACTTCAGACCATATAAGCGGCTGAAACACACCACCCGCCGCCAGTTGTTCAAACAATAACGTTAGCATGCTAATGCGCTTAGCGGTGCTGCGAGGAAACGTGTCCCCAGGGAAACAGTTCATTGGCGGCCGCAACAAAACGTTCCGCACGTGTTCAGGCTATTTACACCGGTATTCAGAAAAGTCATTTCATAACAAAAATAAAAACCGGTTCTCGGTACAAAACGGTATACCGCCCAGCACTAACATAAGCTGTTTGGCAATGGCAGAGAAGATTTCGTAATTTTTTTTGTGTGCGCAACCCACATCCTCAGCACTACTGCTCATCCCACAAACACATGTTCCTTACAAATGTGACACCATTTAAAAGGGAAATAAACAGGCTTTCTAACTGTATAAGATTTATTGGCAAGAAGCATTGTTACAACTGAAAAACAATCTACCAAACTCTAATTTCCTTACTTTTTGTTTTAAGTGTAGATAAAACAAGCCAAGTATCTCTGATGACAAATCAAGAGCAGCAGTTTTATGTGTCTTACATCAGTCTCTGTTCTTCTTTTTTTAAAACCGTTTTGTTCCTTTTTTAATTTGTTCAAAGCAGCCTAACTTTTCAACACTTCACACTAAGGCTGGACGATATTGGCAAAAAAATGTGTCCAATATAACATTAATATGACCATTAATAGATGACAAGTGCACTTGCATGTAGTTAATAGGGGTGCAATGATACAGAAAATGCACGATTCGGTTCGGTTCAATACTTTAGTGTCACAGTTCAACATTTTTTTTGATATAAAATTTTAACTTGTAATTTATTTAAATTAATTATGAACATTTGTTTAACCTCAAAAGTACAGTTTTTTAATGAAATGTCGCTGAAACAGCAAGTTTCTCAGTGGACCTGCGCTCGACGATGCAGCCTAGGTGGATTAGTTGAACACAGATCCACTGATCCTTAGGGCTGTGTATTGGCAAGAATTTGGCGATACGATACATATCATAACAGAGGGGTCATGATACGATATATCCCGATATATTGCGATACTGTAAGCAAGGCAGTATATTATGATATATTGCGATTTTTTTTGTCCAAAAATTCTTTTAAATAAAAACCTCTTACTGAAAAAAGAAGAAAAGCTAATGTTTATTTACAATGCTAATGCTACACTTACTCTCTGGCGCTCAAGAGGTAGAGGAGCCAAATGATTGGCTCACTGCTGCCAACTAGTGGTCAGAGGCTGAACTACAACATAAAAATGAATGGCTGACAGGAAAGTTGACATTTTAAACCTTAATAAAAAAATCAATACAGGGCTCTAGAATATCGATACAGTATCGGGAAATGAAATATCGCGATATTTCAGTGTATCGATATTTTCTTACACCCCTACTGATCCTTCAACATGGAGCATCTTCAGAAGACAAGCTGATAAAATAAATTTTAACAATCTGTATTGTTCGATACAAGTGTGTATTGAACCTAAAGCACTGTATTGTATGGTTCGATACAGGTACATGTATTGTTGCACCCCTAGAAGTTAATATTGTGTTGTTGGTCTACATTTCTGTCTTTCCTCATTCTCCGGTTTGGGTTGGTGTTTCAGGCGTTTAAACACGTTTGCAGGGTTAACTGCTCCACACCCCCTTCCACCATTGGGCTCACATGCACACCTGATAGTAATGATGTGTCGCGCACACACAGTAGTAACTGCAAGGTGGCAAATATTAATTATTGACAGTATTACTGACGATTGATTACGCACCATACCATTTTGCCCAGCCCTGCTTCACCCACTGGCACCAGCATGACCTCTTCTCGCCAAAAGTTTCCAATCTATCAGCTATTTCTGGACGAGTTGATTTGTCATCAGACAAAAGCTGCAGAGGTCTGCGGGCTTTTTAATCAAAAAAACAGCACCACATCAGTGCTCGTTGCTCACTTTTTCTACGTTTCCATGAAATAATTCCACACTTTTTGTCTTGTAAACTTGTACAGGAGATTCAGCACTGGAAGTGTACTTGGTGAATTTGTTCGACAAAACCCTCCTGCAGCAGTTATCTTATTAATAAGTTGAATATATGAAGTCTCTTTCTTTATTTGTGACACATAAAAGGACCGCACCTGTTGCATTTAGATAATTACTTTGAATTTGAGCTAGAGGTTTGATTGGATACAATTTGAACTGAATGTGTTTTAAACACTTTAAAAAGGCAGCTGCAGTGTTTATCTGCCTTATGGCTGTGCCTCACACCTGTGAAAGAACTGTTTTCCCTCTTGACTCCATGTGCTCCAAAAATAGAAGAAGAAATAAAAATCCTGGACTGAGTTTGTTCATATATGTAAGAAGCCTAAAAATGTTCACAAATGCAGCAATTTAGAAACTGGATTTAATTTCATATCCTTTGTTTTTCTTTCTCCAAACACATTTTTCTAAATTGAGAGCTTCGGTTGTCATTTTTTGCTAAGTATTTTACTCGCTTGCATTGCTGTGCAAACTTCAGCAGTTTTTTTTCCCTCTCTCAGCTGACTGTCCTGCCACTGTCATTGTGACCTTCCTGTGACCAGCCTGCAGGAAAGGACTTTGCTTGATTATAACCCTAAGAGATGGGGGCTGTATACCTTGGACCCAGTTGCAGCAGATCTGTGGAGTTGGCACTGGGTTTCATAGAATAACAAGCTGCCTTTTTTTTTGTAAGTTGGTATTCCTGTGCAAACAGCGGCCAATTTTGTTCACACTTCCTGGTTTCTAGTGGACTTGCGCCCTGGCCTTTTTTTTTTTTCCACACAACTTTTTATAGGAAGTTCAGCTGTATTTGTGAGTGGGTTAAAGAAAAGATCATTATGTGAACGGTGACTTATTTAACTAGAGTCAGCTACAGGTCGTGACTTGTGAATAGCTTGTGTATGTTAGTTTTGCCTACAGCGGAAGAATTCAGCAGTGTGCAAGTAGTAGCTGCCACCGAATAGCAACCTAGATTTAAAAAAACTCCATAGCTTTTTTTCCTTAGAAATCATGTTTTTTTTTTCTTTTTTTAAAAGAGCTTCATAGAAAACTCTACACATGGGGCAACATGACAGAAAAAAACACCTTTTACGTTAATGTTTCTTTTGCAGATAGATAAAAAATGTGACGTTTTGATCCCTCCTGGGACGTTTTATTGACATGGTGGTCCCAGTTGGAGCTTCATCTTGTCCAAAACTGAATGATCGTTGTGTCATTGATGAAACCCAAGCCTAGAGGTTGTGGTTTTTATACAAATAAAAAAAAAATCAGGTTAGGCTGCAGAACAGTAGACATATCTGTGTAAGAAAACACATGTAGTCTTTTCTGACTTGCTTGTAATTCAGAAAATTCCCTTTTTTTCTTTCCTCTGTTTTGTTTCATCAAATATTCAGTGTTCCTTCCTGCCTAGACATTGCTCACATATTTGTGTTTTAATGTATTTGTTGGCTTTGTTTCAAATTGCTTATTTATCCAGTTTGAAGGATTGGCCTTTGTTTGTTTTGCAGAAATGCTTTTTTTTTTTTTAACCATGGTGCGTTTTTACTAAAAAGTTTGTATCAGTTCTGTTTTAATTCCGGTTTCTTTAAACTAAAACTAATAATTAAGACAGACGGAAAGGGAGAGGTTAGTAAGTTGTTATCCAAAGGGGAAGTTTCCTTCACTTGCCTTGTAGTTAGTAATTAAATGGGATGTACGTAACTAAAGGTGTTAGTTTTTTCTACATCTTTTCATATTTCTCTTTAACAAAATAAAGCACCTAACATGAGAAATAAGTCAGCCTTTTTTTTGGCAGCAGACTTAAATGAACACAAGTAGACTTGTTAGGTTTTTTTCCATGATGTGGTTTTGTGGAAAAAAAAGTATTTAAGGACAGATCCTGTAAAAATAAAGTGTCTCAGGAGGAGAAAAAAGTAACATTTTCCATGTGTGACTATGTCTCTGTGTTTGTTAATGTCAGCATAATGCAAGAAGGAACTGGTTTCATTGAGAAAAGTTTGTTTCCTGTTTTGTTTCTTTTGTCCTGGTCGAACATGGGTTGGGTTAACGCTTCACTCATCCAGCTGACGCAGCAAAAACAAGTAGTGAGAAAACGCAGTGGTTGGATAACATGAGGTGAATCATATTTGAGATGTGAAGCACGAATATTTGGGGTTTTACTTCTCTACTATGATACATGGCACCTTGTTCACTATTTAAACAAAAAAAACATTAATGTTTGGAAAATACAGGACTTAAAGAAGAATGCCAGATGCAAACTATTAAGGCCTGTTATAATGGGCAATAACTCAATTAAATGCAAGATAAAATGAGGTCAATAAAAAAAGGAGGTTGATCATTTTTATTTGCCTGCTTGTTTCCTGTTTTTCTAATCCTTAGAGTAGGACGAAGTGAAGTCGTGTCAGGTATTTACCAGGTGCATGGTCTTGTAACCTCTAGCATGAGGACTTTAGCTAGTGGAGCGTCTTCAGTTTTCCTTTCCTTTTATTTTATTTATTTTATTTTATTTTTTTTCGTCTTTGGTTTTCCAACACCTTCTTTCAGCTCAGGATGCACTCAGGGCACCGTGCCAAAACTTGGGTTTGCCGAGAGTTTTTTTTTTTTTTTTTTTTTTTTTAACACTACATAAATTTCATAAGCTTGATAAGCAGCATGCAGGTGATATTATGAGGCCAGAGGAAGACATAAAAAAATAAGGTGCTACAAATTGGATCATGGTGGGTAGTGAAATCACAGCTTCAGCAGCTGCTGTGGTGTGGTGTGGTGTGGTGTTGTTTTAGCCAATCTCCAGTCCAGTTCAGTCCGAAACTTTTTTCCTTGCATGCATTTCATAAATTTCTGTAAGCTTCATAAGAGGGGGTGTGAGGTATCATATTAGTTTAATTATATCGCATTTGCAATAATTTCCGAATCAATTTATGGGTGGAATGACCCAAATTTTAAATTACAGTATTTTCAACAATTATACCAGTATTATGTTCAAGTGCTGCTTTTTGATTAGGTAACCTGAAATTACTTTCTTTCTGCAACAAATAAACTATTTATTGACTTTTTTTCTTTTACTGTACCACCGTCTGTGTCACTGTTTCCCTCCTACGTCTCATCTTCTCTGCCTGGTTGTCGACAGTCACATTTTGGTCCGGTCATGAAGCAGGAGGCTCGAGCAAAGATCATTATCAGGTCTATCGTTTTGTGTTATTTATTAAAGCTTTGTTTCTGCTTCCTCTTAACTGCAGGCCTACAACATCCACGTCAACGGTGTGCTGCACTGTCGGGTACGCTACAGACAGCTCCTTGGCCTCCATGAACAGGTGAGGATTCAGCTTCATCATAAAACACCCGCTGCTTTGTCAGGGCACTGCGACGTAATGCCACCACGCTCGCACATCGTGACCTTTCATGCCTCTTTGTGTTGTAAGGTCCATTCTCCGTTGCTCGCATCAGTTTAAAACTCAGCCATGAGACTTTATTTTTCCTTTCCCTGAAAACTATTTCTGCTAAACTGGAGTGAATTGTGGAGGGGGTGGAAGGAATGTTCTTGGCCTTCGTTGCACTTCACCTGCTGGGGGGAAAAAGAACTTAATCTGGAAAAGAAATGGTTTTTGGAAAATGTCTGTGAGGCTTTAGTCAAACCCAGATTTTTTAATAGAGCAGTTACAAGGCTGTTAGTTTTGTGAGATTATGTTGTTTCCTACAGCCTTGCTTCCTCAGAACTATGCCTGTCGCGATAGTCAATAAATCAATTAATTGCACAATAAATTTTTTTGAGGTCGGTAAAAAAAAATGAGGACGATAAATTTCATTTTCCTGCTTGTTGGTTTACTTCGTCTCCCTCTCTGTGCTCCGCTACACAGGAGCTCAGCTGACTCCTCCCCTCCTGTTTTCTTAGTGTCAGGAAGAGTGAACTCTCGCGCTAGCGTGAGAGCTCGTAGCAATAACAAACTAAAGAAACGTTTCAAAGCAGAACGCGGCTGCTGCAGTGTCGGAGCACTACAGCCTGAATTTCGCTGCGGGGAGACACAGAGAAAGGAGGAGAAGGGGTGGGAGCTGAAACTCCCCCAGACCCACGACAAACTCGTCAAGACTTTAGCTGTAGCTCCCAAAAATAACAGGAAACTTAAACGCACCATCTGTGTTTTAACAAAACACCCAAAAAAAGCCTGTAGCTGTCCCAGAAACTCATGAGGAAAACTCTGAACTGTCTGATTTCCTCCCCCGCAGCACTCTGCTTGTCTCCTCACTGACTGTCCCCTCCTCACACACACACACAGACATATTTGTTCTTCTATCCTCATGAGGACTTTGCATTGACTTTCATTCATTTACCAGTATTTTCTATTACCATTTGACCCTAAACCTAGCCTAAACTTTACATAGGATGTGAACTGGGCTTATGTCCCCATAAGAAACAGTGGGTCCTCACCAGGCTGTGTAGTTTGCTTCATCTCTAAAGAGATGCTGCTCTTTAATATTGTTTATTTACTGTCTTAGTTGTGTGTGGTGTTTAATTTACATTTTGTTGTTCTTTGTTTTTTTTTTATTCAAGTGCATTTTTTGTTAGAGACTGAGAGTCCACTTTGTTAAACATTCTTTAAAAATTAAAGTTTATTGATTTATTACACTTACATATTACGCTTTTATAATTATTAGTTGTAAAATGGTCACCAGGCAATGTTATCGCTTATCGCAATAATTTGTGAGACAATTAATCGCCCAGCAAAATTTGTTATCGTGACAGGCCTACTCAGAACTAACTCTTATTAATTTAGTCGACGAATGCAGATGGATCAAATCTTTGCCACCTCCAACATACCCAGTCTTCTATTTGCACTGCAAGAGCTAAACTTTGCTATCTTTATCCTCCAGTCTGTGTTATCCAGTCTGACAGTTTCAGTTGCCTGGCAACAGGAAGAGACCACACTGGGAGGTTTTTAAGAATGAACCCCAAAGGGCTTCCTGTTGTGCACGCATGACCCCCAAAACACTAAAGTCTGGGCACGTGCACGCTGCTCAGTTGCTGTAGAGAAATCGTGATTAATAATTGTTTGTCTAGGTTTTGATGAAAATAAATATCTGCAGCTAAGCCTCGCCTCTGTTTGATTCTGAGCTTGCAAAAATAAAATAAAAGTAAATAAAAACCTGAACATGATCTGCTGCAGGAGCTCACATCGCTGTCAGTTTTAGGGGGAGTCTGAATAAATCACGAGAGTAGTCATATGTTCAACCAATGCTGCCTCTTTGAGCTGAGCATGTGTAGGACCTGTTTGTTTTCATATGCATGGTGGGGGTTGGGGGTGGGCCTGTGAAGTCCCGATGATGAGTGAGATGTACAGCTTTTGCCTGAAGCGACACGCAGCTTAGATTCAAGCCACATTTAGCTGCGACTCCAGATTTCGTTTAATATTCTCACTGCTCAAAAGCAACAGCTAGATTAGGTGTGGGATGGTATGAAATTATGATGGTATGATAACCTTGGGCACAAATATCACGGTTTCGTGGTAGGTCGGTATTATGATTACAGCTCTAAAAAATTTGTTTTGAAATTTGTAATTAAAAACAAAAAAAGAAAATAAATTTTCTATGATCATATTCAACTTTAATTATCTTTGGAAGCTGTTTTTAGATCTCAGAGGTTTTATGCTGAAATTTTATTTACCTGTGTGCATCTGTATTTATGATTTGTTAACACCTAAAGCAATTAGGTCATCCTGATAAAGTTTACATCTAATATTAGTTAAGACAAATCAGTGTATAATGCATGACAAGTTTTTTTATTGAAGTAATTTATCACATTGGGAGTTTTTATTGTGTTTTAAATTTCAAAAGGGTATTTGACGTTAAGATAATATACAAGAAATCACAATTATGAATGCGTGTTTATGAAACGCACATTCAGCTAACGAGCTGCTCGGCTAAAGGAGACATTTAGTTTTATTGTCTTTCACTTAAAACTTATTAAATACACAATCCAACAACTCAAACAGTTTTGCAGACAAGCTGTGACCAGTGCATTAAGCTACAGCAACACGTTTCACAATCTGATGCTAACGTTAGCTCGTTCATTTCAAGATAGCATAAACTTTACCTGGAGCTGCGATCATGTTAGATGCCTCAGCAGTCCACATTGCTGTCGTCTTTAGGGCATCCTAAGTATTTTCATATAGTAGGGCTGTGTATTGGCAAAAATTTGGCGATACGCTACATATCATGACAGAGGGGTCACGATACGATATATCCCGATATATTGCGATACTATAAGCAAGGCGATATATCCCGATATATTGCGATACTATAAGCAAGGCGACATATCGCGATATATTGCGATTTATAAAAACTTCTTACAGGGAAAAAAAATGAAAAACCAAAATTCATGGTCTCAGAAAATTCTAATATTACATAGACATACTTTTGATACATTTAGCTGTGTTCTGCTTTGTATGTATT